GAGTAAGAATGTGTCAAACAACAAATGGCAACATAAATGAAAAGTCTACTAATCTTAATTTGGGCAAAGGATAAATTCACAGAAAAAGCCATACAAATGGTCAGTGAACATAGTGTGATGGTTAATTTTATGTGTTATCTTAACTGGGCTAAAGATTAGTTCAGACAGCTGGTGAAACACTATTCCTGTACCTACAAGGGTGTTTGTGGAAGAGATTAGCATTTGAGTCAGTTCACTTAGTAAAGAAGATGGCCCTCACCAGCATGGGCAGGCATCTCCCAATCTGTGAGGGCCCAAATACAACAAAAAAGAGGAGCTGGGACAGTCATCTTCCCCGCCCTCAGTATTGGTGTTCCTGCTTCTCCGATCTTCAAAGACCGGGACTCACGCTGTTGGCTCTCCTGGCCTTAGGCCTTTGGACTTGAACTGGAACTACTCCATCGACTTTCGTGGGCCCTCAGCTTGCCTACATCAGGGGATAGGACCTCTCAGTCTCCAGAATCACATAAGCCAGTCCCGCCTAATAAATCTCTATAGGTTTATATATTCTGTTGGTTCCCTGTGTCTGGAGAACCCTGACTAGTATACATAGGAAGAGATGCATAACCTTTTTCAAAACAAAAAGGAAAACCATGCTAATCAAAAGAAAATCCCACTTTCACCTGCTAGGTTATTCCAATTTCTGTTGCAATCTAAGTATAGATGTGAGAAAACAGACTGAGAGTTGAAGTACATTTGGTACAGTATTTGAGAAGACAGTTCATCAGTGACTTCTAACATTTTATGTGCAATTTCCTTTTGACTCTCTAATTCCAGTAGTAGGAATATGCTATAAGAATGAACATACAAAAGTGTGCTGGAATACATGAACAGCATTGTCTCAAATAGCAAAAAAAGCCAACAACCAGAATTGAATAAGGCACTAAATTGGGATAAATTCAATGAAATTCTACTTAGCCATTTAAAAAACTGAAGTAGAACTGGAGGTATGGCTCAAGCAGTAGAACATCTGCTTCATAAGTGCAAAGCCCTAGGTTCAAATCCCAACCCTACCATTTAAAAAAATTATATTAAAAAAACTGAAGGATATGCTAGTAGGGGTAAATATATTTAGGAATGTACACACACACACACACACACATATTATTACCCTGAAAATGTATACAAGATACTTTGTAGTTTTTCTTGGGAGAGAGAAAAGTATGGGAAAAAAAAAATAGTACAGGAACTTAATATATATATTTTTGTATAGTTTAACTATAGGCATCCATTCCTTTTATTTTAAAATCCACTGGTAGAGGATGTAGGAAATTAATAATAAAGCAATAAAATTAATTACTTCCTGTAGTTGAGCATAAGTTTGTCTTTGAGCTTCCTAATATCCCAGGCAAAAAGGAAACTTCATAAGGAAGTACAAAAAAATTATAAGGAAAGAGAAACATTTTCCTGATGTTGGTCTCTAAAAGAAACGTAGCTGCTAAGATTGGTCTAAACCCAGATGTGATCTTGTCTCTTTCAGCCCAGCTTTAAAAGCACTGATGGGTCTGCACTTTTTCCCATGACCCAGACTGTGTCCACCAACTGGTCTCCCCTCTCTGTCATGTACGTGACACTACTTCCAGTGCCTTTGCATGTATTATTCCTTCTGCCTGAAATGTTTTCTCTTTAGCTAATTATCAGCTGCTAAGGTTCTTCTTTTTATTTATTAAGATTTAATTTTTTGTGTGTGGGACTGTGATTTGAACTCAGGACTTCACTCTTGCAAAGCTCTACTGCTTGAGCCACACCTTCAGTCCATTTTGCTCTGGTTATTTTGGAGATAGGGTCTCTTAAACTATTTGCCTAGTCTGGCCTTGAACCATGATCCTCCTGATCTCAGCCTTCCAAGTAGCTAGGATTATGGACATGAGCCACTGGCACCCTGATAAGATTTTCAATCGTTTCCTTGAGTTGTAATCCTTCAAGGGCAGATGTCCCTCCTCTATTCTCCCAAGTCCTCTGTGCCTGCCTCAGTAGTGGAACTTGTCACACAGCACCGTAAATACTGATTTGTTTTCTCCACTACATAAGGAACTTCTTCAGGTTAAGAGTACTGTGTTGTTTGGGGCTTTGGCACCAATCAGAGATGAATGGTTAGTGAGTCTATGATCTGAAGTTAGAGTTCTACCTGTTCCACTAGTCAGCGGTATAGATAGTCACTTTGCTCTAGGCCTTGGTTTTTCCATCCATACAGTGAGAGCTTTGGCTCAGATAATCTTGGAGAACTATGACTCCTTCTTCTGTGAGTGTCACGATGTCATTCATACACACACAACCACACTTACAAAGAAAGAGACATGGAGGTTGTTGCCAGCTGTCATGCTAAGAAATTTCAAAGTTCCAGAACTGAGCTTGTTAGAATTCACTGCATTCATTATGGCCTGTCTCACACCTGTTCACCAGTTGAAGGAATCAGAGCCATAACCAGCTTCCTTGGCCCAGGATTGTAGAACTGCGTATGTCCTCCACCCTTCCTGCCTCCGATCTGTCCTTGGCACACACAGATATTATAGGGCTTTTCCTGACTGTATCCTCAAAGACAGCTGCTCTTCCTACCTTCTCGCCCTGAGCTGTGCCCTCTTGACTCATCCATACCCTGGGTTCCTAGTGTTCCTTGTCTTCCTGTGGGATAGGGGCCCACCCTCACCCCACCCTACCCCTATAGACAAGAAATTATACTTTCTCAATCCTAGCTTTACAGAGTTGAAAGAAGGATACTGGAGATGAACCTAGGGTTTTGAGAACGTACATAATAGCTCTGTGCATGGTATATTTTTTTAAAAACTTTATATTTTTATACCTAAAAAAGATGAATCTACCAATTAGAGCTATTTAATTGAGACTGATGGTTTCCTAGGAAAAAGCCATCCACTTACTCCTAAGTGCAAATACTCTATAAGGACCATTTTGTAATTGACCATTTTGAGAGCATATTAGCAATGCAAAGGTATTCCTCTGAATACAGGATTGGCACTATTTGCAAAGGTGTGAAGCACTTGAAGGCATTTAAAAGATATCCAGAATTCAAGAGTGCTCTGTTCAGGCCCTACTACCACCACTGAAAGTTTATACAGAGGGCCTGCTTTCGTTCCATTGCTTCTGCAAGTATTCCCAAAACACCTACTGTGTGCCGGACATTGTTTTCTACTAGGGAAGCAGATTGAATGAAATACCTGCCTTCATGGAACTTGTACTCTAATCAAAGGCAAATATTAAACAAGATAAATAAGCAGAGATACAGTATTTGAGAAAGTAAGCCATTATAAAGAGAAAAATAAAGGACACAGGCTCTAGAACAGCCAGGTTAAGGCACTGCATTTGTACAGAGGGTGCTCAAAGGAGAGCTTCATGGAGGAGATGGCAGTTGAGTGCATCTGGATGTGAGGGGTGAGCCCACCGAAGATTGCTGGGAAGCATTTCAGAAGGAACAGCAAGGGTGGTGTCTCAGAGGCAAGGGCAGCTTGGTGTCAGCAGCGGATTAGTCTGAGTGAGTCTGGGAACCACTGGAGGGTTTTAAACAGATCTGCCTTTGGATTTTAACCTGGAGAGCCATTCTGGCTACTCTGTCGAGATTAAGTCAAAAAGAGTGAGGGTGGAAGCAAAGACCTGATAGTGGGCTGTGGAATATTCCCAGCAAGGATTAGGGTGCTGTGGACCACAGTAGCAGCAATGGTAATGGCAGTAAGAGAGCAGGGGTTCTGGACAAAATCTGAAGGTAGAGCTGCCAGGGCTTCTTTTCAAGGATGTGACCTTTGGGGCTTGAGAAATGTGAGAACCTGATCCCCATGAACTAGATGGAAGAGGAAGGTCAGGAGCTTGCTTTTGGGCATGTTTAGACAGCCAAAAGGAGAGAGCAGGTGGACAGGGGAATGTGGCATTCAGAGGATGGGACTGACCGTCCCAGTTTGAGAGTTTCAGCATGTCAATGGTTTCCAAAGCCATGGAACAAGATGAGAGCATCAGGGAAGTGAACACAGAGAGAAGGTAGATGGCTGAGGACTGAACAAGTCCGGTGTTTAAGGATTCGGGAATGAGGGGGGAAATGCTTATGGTGTAAGTGAATGGCATCTGCAGCAGTCAGTTCTGGAAGTAGGGCTGCTTCCTTGCAATCACACTAATAGTCTCATGACTCTAGGCGAAAGGAGGGAGCTTTGGCATGTGATGATGCTCTTCAAATAGAGTCCTTATTGTCCACCCTGAGCATTTTATTTCTGAATAAACTTTGCCATTTCTGTAGACTTCCACACCTCTTTTCAAGGTCACTACTGAAGGGTTTTCAAAAATTCTTTTTAGAGAAAAAAAAAATGTCTTCACAATTGAATCCTATTAGACCCCTTCAGTTCCATTTTTCCAAGGATGGAAGAATAGTGTTGATGATGGAAACCGCCAGGCTGTGGTAAGTCAGGAAACAATGTCACTGGCTTGAAGCACTCATAGCCCAGCTCCCTTACACATGAAGTGGAGCTTTTTACCTGTAACAAAATGTAAGGTAGTGCTGGAGTCCTATCATAGTTCTCATTTAATTCTGAAATAGTGGCTTGGAAAGTTACAAGGCAATTTGAGAATTCGGTGGAACGTCTCTTACTCATCATTTGCCCTTGTCATGACTGGTATTCATATTCTGTTCACAGGTTATTTCTATAAGGAGAGGATTAGTTTGAGGTTCTGTTGTGGACAATAAAATCCAATTAATTTCAGTCAGGACAGAAATTCTCACTTAGTTTTCATTCCCTCACTTATTCGTCCTTGAGGATATCATCCCTTTTGACTGCGTGTCTTGTGCAGTGTGTGTAAATCGGTTCAGGTTTCTGATGACACCATTGAGGTTCTTGTCTTATTAATCAATAGCAGCAGTCAGAGAGGCCTGCTTACTCCTTCTCCAATAGAGCAGACCAGGCTTGAAGGAGGCAATAATTACTGCTCTGATCTCAGCATGTTCTCTTTTCTCCTTCCCACCCCAGAGCATGTCTGTTCGATCCTGGCTTCCCTCCTGCGCAACCTGAGAGGGCAGCAGCGGACCCGGCTCCTGAATAAATTCACGGAAAATGACAGTGAGAAGGTGGGTGACTGTGATTGTGAGGATGGAACCATGGCCAGCATGGGAGAAAGGGCCCCTTACCTGGTGGGATCTGAGGGAGGCTAGGTGGAGTGCTCCTGCCTTAAAACACCTTTCTCCAGCATCTTGGGCTCCATCACTTTGCATCTTAAAGTTCTGTTGGTTACTCTATTTCTTGTGTCCAAATGCACTCCCCTGGGAGTCCTTAGTGAGCCCTGAGGGTGATAATAGTGGACACTTTAGAGGGCTTTTCAGACCCAGTAAGAGTGAATTCATATGGGATTTTGGTTGGGGAGGGCGGGGTGCACAGCATAGCAAAATGATTGAGATCATAGGCTTTGGATTTGATCTCTGGATTTGAACCTGTTTTAATGTGTGCTACTCTGAGTTTCACTTCCCCCGGCTTGACGATAGAGACATTAGCACCCATCTGGAAGAGTCAGTGGGAGGCGAGTTAGATGAAGTCTTACTAGGTGGTGAGGATGAAAATAAGGTATTGATAAGGAAACAGTAGAGCCTGCCTAGGTGGGCTGTGGAAGCTAGCAATGATCACTAAATGAGATTGGGTGGATATTTTATGTTGTTATCTTATGTGCCAAACCAAAAGATTTTAACACCAATAGAAGCTGCCATTTATTGAGTAGCTGCTGTGGAATGGTAATAGAGCAGCTGCCTTTTATCGTTGCCTGTAATCACGTAACACTGCGTGGTATATCCTTATGTGAATATCATGCACATTTTCAGATAGGAAATTAAAGCTTAGAGACATCATGTGACTTAGCCAAGATCACACCACTAATAATAGTAGAGCTGGGGTTTGAACCCAGACTGCTGAATGCAGAAAGCCTGGGTTTTTCATCACCCTGTGTGTAAGTAGGCAATTCCAGAGGAGTAAAGTGAAGGCTCAAGCACCCTTCTGAACCTACATTACTTTCCTGCTTGAGTCCTCAGTACTCAAGCTGGAGCTTTTCCCTGCTTTAGAGAGAGGTCCAGGACTATTTGTTTAAGTTCACCTTTGGTGGTTATTGCTCCCCCTTGTAGCAGTGTAGGTGAGCAATCAGGTTAGGTAACAGAACATCTCAGCAGTCATGCACATGGTGATATCATTTAACATCCAAGCTCCAATTTCCTCACCTTTATGGAGAGGGTTGCTATCACTTCTTTGCTACCTTATCAGGCTTAAAGAAATAATGGACATAGAAGTATTTTGTAGAGTGGAATAGTCTTCAGGTCATCATTGACTACAGAGGGTTTGAGCATAGTTTTTATGGACTGTCTGAGGCCATGTTGGAGCAAGATCTCCAGATGACCAATATCAGTGCCTGGGCAAATAAATTTTCTAGATGGCCAGGAGCCATTGGTGGTACCAGCCTGATGAAAAGTTAGGTCAGAAGTGTGGGCTGGCTTCACAGGGCTCCTTCCGTCTTTTAGAAGTTTTAGGGAAAAAAGAAACTTTTCCAAACCTACTGAGTGTTCCTCAGGCCATGGTCCAAGCATGGCTTTGCTAAGCTTAAAACTGATTCTGAAGTTATTGCTGAACAAAAGTCAAGGCCTTTTTTCAAGGTGCTGAAGGAGTTTTTCTTTCCCTGACTCAAAAGCAACTAAAAAGATTTTACTCTGGCAGTTTTAAAAAAAGATCAGCTCTGGGGCAGAATCTGAACATGAAAGGTTTCAGTTTGAAAAAAGAAATCTCTGTAAAGTTCTAAGTGAATATCAAGTGTGTAACTTCAAGCGTCTTCTCTTTGCAAGCAGGCACTTGAATTTTTATTTATTTATTTGTTGTTAACAACTTGAATTCCCAGGAGCCCTAAAAGGGCTGGGAATGCATGGTCTCCTTGGGGGAAGGGCCTTCATCCAGGCGACATGCAGCCTGAGTGTTTGCTCTGTTCCGCCCCAGTCTTCACTCAGTTCCTGATGTGTCCCTAAGCAATGCTCGTCTCCCATGTCAGAAATGGAAGTGTGGTCTCCCTTTGTAAGCAGTGACAGTGAGATGGGGAGGAGTGTGCTCTTCCCTTCTCACTCCTGCCTGCAAAATCTCTCTTTCAGGTTGACAGACTAATGGAGTTGCATTTTAAATACCTGGGTGCAATGCAGGTGGCTGACAAGAAGATTGAAGGGGAAAAACATGTATGTATCTCTGCCCACCTTTGCCAGTTATCACCTTGCACCCCATTTGGTTCCTTGTGTACTTCACCTCTCCCCACAGGTCAAATGAGAACAAAGATGTATCTATGCCCATGTGCCACCTAACACGTCCTAAGAGCAGAGCAGGCGACAATCTGCTAATGGGCATAGACCTGCTGTCCCAAGCATGGCAGGCTCTTAGGAAGGGTGTAGGACTGACCTAGGTCTGTCCTGGGAGCCTGGGAGGATATCTCTTAAAAGTCTGACCAAAGTGCAGTGCTGGGTCTCCGTGCCATGTTGGCCAAGTTGTCTTGGTCCTCCAGCTTGCTGGCTGCTGTCATCCAGAGGAAAGCATTCTGAGTCCAAGTGGCTCCAGGGCAGACAAGCTGAGAAGAAGCTGAGAGTCATCCAGTTCAGCTCCCAGGTTTACAGACAGAACACTGCAGACACAGAGAAGGGAGGCCCAGATGGCTGCGGCCACACTGAACTCCAGGTCCAGCATGAGTGCCTATTTTATGTTGGGGCTTGGCGAGGGAAGTGAATGCTGCTAGATTTTCTTCTTGAGGGGTTGTGCTTACTGTGGGGTTGCCCTGCCCTCTGTGTTTCTCCCCTTCTTCCATTTCATGTTCTGCCATCTCTGGCCGCTGTAGCTTGCTGCATTGTACTCTTTAATCAAGGAAGTTTTCATGTCTGCTGTTTAACATCCAGTCTCTGTTCTGTCCCTGACAAGACACTCCTCAGTCTTTGGTTACATTACAACACCATCATTTTCTTATGTTTCCAGTCTGCAGAAAACCTCATTTTCCTTCTGGTCTTGATTTACTAGACCACTCCATTCACTACTCAGTTTTCTTGCCTTAAACAGACTTTTGAGGCTTTGGACCCTTACTGGCAGGAAAGCCCATGGCAGCACCTCTATCACCCCAGATGCGCACAGAGCCTTCACACTCCTCCTCTACCTGTACTGCAGCCTGGGTGCCAGGCTAGAGCTGAGGGAAGACATGTGGTCTGTGGCCTGCTTCTCTTCTCCACTTCCTGCCCAGCCCTCCCCCTTCACAAAACACACCTTCACTTATGAAGACCATTAGATGGTAACTATTTTTCCATTCTTGTGATTTCCCTATGATCTCTAAGTGCTCAGATGTTTGCTGATTGATTGAATTGATTGGCTGGGACTTTCTTCTTTTGTGCAGTGATACTACTGCAAGATAAAAGGCAGAGTCTAAATGCTGAGCTGGACTTCAGATACTAGCATGCTCCACACCCAGCTCTTTCACTGCACACCCCACCCTTCTGTTTTGTTCTTTCTTTAATTAAACTTTCCTTTAACGTCTTTTCTTCCTGTACATGAGAGGCCCTGAGTGATTGGTAAGTGCTAGAGTAAGATACCCTTTCTTTTTTGTCTGATGATAATTAGTAGGAAACTGAAATTCGCCTAGACTTGTGTGAGGAAACAGCCATGAGACCATTGACCTCTAACCCTACTACAGTACCTATTGGAATCTGCTGGGTGGATTTTGAGGGGCAGAAGGAGCACCTGTGTGGTGACTACCTTGAAGTCACTGTAAGCAGCACCTTGTCACTGTGCCTCATATGGCTTCCATTTCTTATCTATAAAGGGCTCTTAGGGCCCAGGATCAGTTGACACTCTTCTGGTTTTTCTGCTGGTGTTTGTTTTTTGTTTTGTTTTGTTTGACAACCAAATGAATTGAAAGCTCATTGAGAAGATGGTCAGTGACTAGAGTGCCCTTAGGTGGAAAGCAGTAGCGTAGTAGAAATTGTGGCATGAGCACACAGGGGGAGTCAAGAGAGCTCTGGTTTAATGCCAGCCTGCTACTTCTAGCTCTGAGCTCTTGGACAGTTGAGTTGACCTCAGATGTCTTCCCATCTGTAAAATAACACCTCCCTTGCAGTGAATACAAAGACTAAGCACAAAGGATGTGAAGTACTTAGCTCAGTAAACAGAAGCTGCTGCTGCTGCTGATAGATGTTCTAACTTCTGCCAGAATTCCTGGGTTACTTTTTTTTTTTTGGTGAGACTGGGGTTTGAACTCAGGCTTCATGCTTGCAAAGCAGTGCTCCACTACTTGAACCACTCCTTCAGTCCATTTTGATTTGGTTATTTTGGAGATGGAAACTATTTGCCTGGGCTGGCCTCAAACCATGATCCTCCTGATCTCAGCCTCCCAAGTAGCTAGGATTATAGGTGTGAGCCACCATGTCCAACTCCTGGATCACTCTTAAGCAAGCCCTTTCTCTGGTGCATCTCTTTGCCAGCCACCCGAGAAGGAGCTGTCCCAATGGGACACAGGGTTGGCTCCATTAGGTGCTCCATCTGGGGTGAGGTGTAGACATTTCGAGGAAGACTGATAAGTGGTTGGGCATCAGAGAGCAGCTTGTGCATAGCCCTAAGGGAACTTGGCCTGCTTCCTGCAAGATTATCTATAATCAGCGTTGATAGGGTATGAAATTGATTAGCACTGATGGAGAGTAATGTCTGTGGCTGCTCCTCCAGTGCTCACCAGGTGGGGTGTGCCACAGGCTCTGTACCCTGCCATTCCCTGACAAACATCTGTCTCCTTAATGCCAAGGCCTTTTTCCTGGGCACTGGCAAACATTCCAAGGCCATTAGTGCTCAGCAGTCACAGTGCTGCTCCCAGAGCCAGGGCGGAGTGCATTTGTGAGTAGTGTTACTGCCAGCACTCAGGCTCCATCCTGGCAGGTGAAGCCACCTCATAGGTGTGAAGTGACTCAGAATAAGAAGACCTCATTTTCACCTCATACAGTCTTCTCTCTTAAGTCATAAACAGTTTGTCTCCTACCCCTCCTCACCCCTGTTAAATTCAGGTGTCCCACACCAACTGGGACCCAGCCAAGAATTGTTGACTTGAATGGAATGCTTATTTTTCCAGCATTTTGATGACACTGGCCATCAGATTAGCAAGGAATGAATATTTCACATACTTTACCAAGTCTGGACAAACAGCACTCTAGATTACAGAATCAGGTGTTGACATTGTCATGCCTCAGAGCCACCCTTCCCTGTGAGTCTTGGATTTCTCTGGGCACAGTACAAGTGTCTGTGGCTTGCAGTTGACCAAGATTTACCAGAAAGAATCTGGTTATTTGGCAGATGTTGACCAGACGCCTGCTCTGGGCCAGGCCCTCACTGGGAGTGAGAGGCCCAAGTGCCAATAAATGAACAGGCCCAAGAGTATGGCACTGCAGAGAACGGGACTGGAGGGTCTGGGGAGCAGCAAATTTGCCCCCACAGATCTGTGGGTGAGAAAACATTCAAGCTGACCCTTAAAAGACAGAGACAGGTCAGGCCTGTCCAGTCTGGGAAGAAAAAGCAAAGGAGGGGTAGTGAGAGGCCCTGTGGAACACGAGGTAGGTTACATTCAGGGCAAATGTGCAGGACCAGAGAGGGAGAGAGCTTGGACTCCAGAGCAAGGTCTTTCCCAGGCTCTCTGGCTGTGGACAGATATCTTCACTGCCTCAACCTATTTTCTTCCTTGGTGGCATTTTGTTTTGTTTTTAAGGTGAACGTCTCTATTTGTGTATGTAGGTAGTGATACAATAGTGAGAAATACCAAAAATGAAAGCTGGCACAGGTCCTGGCATCTCACACACACATGCTGTTTTAATCCCCTAGTACTGCAAGATTTTGGATGATCTGATTCTTCCCCCTTCCCTGCCTCTGGCACCCTCCTACTGTGCAGTCTTGTGTTTGCTGCTCCATTAGGCCCTGTGTCCTCTCACTGGAGCTTCCTCCACTGTTGGCTTGTCAGAGAAGTTGTCGGGAGTCATCATCTGTAAAGACCCTTTGCTGCCAATTCGTAGTCAATAATCATTTTAGTTATTTGTTCACTCTACCTCTGGGACTCTGATGTCTCATTCATCATATTCTCAGGACTTACACCCTGAGGTTCAGCCTGACGAAATGAAGGACAACTACTTGTTAGGGAAAGTAATATCTGCCCTTAGGTGTTAGGAATATGGAAGGTCTCTCTGGGCTTTCCACTTTTTTCCTTAACTCTCATTTTGTTTTTTGGTTTCTTTTCTGATTAACCCCATCATTGAAAAATATTTAAGTGCAACTAGGCGAATTCTGTGACAACTGCAACAATATTCTAGTTCTTTTTGTTTTTTGGGTTTTTTTATGGCTGGGAATAGAACCCAGGGCCTTGCACATGCTAGGCAAGTACTCTATCACTGAGCTGCATCCCCAGCCCTGCAGCAGTATTCAGTAAGAAAAATTACTCCTACTTGGAAGCATCTGTGGGACTGATAATTTTATACATACTCGGCTCACATCACATTACTGCACCCATCTGTAACTTAGCAAAGAGCTCTGCATCTTGAGCCATGGCCCACAGCAAAGCTGGACATACCCCAGGGGTTTCTGGTTAACAAGATTTCACCTGAACTTTTAAAGGCCAAGTCATTCTTCAGACTCTTCTAGTGAGCAGCAATCCTTGTGATCAGTAAATATCCCGGGCACTGTCTCAACAGATTTCACTGGGCTCCCCAAACAATTTGAAGCCCAGAAAATACCAAGACCCCTGTTGGTTGGTCGTGCAGAGCCTGCCTGGCTTCTGACCGTCAGAAGTAAGACATAATTAGATAGGTGCTGGCAGGGATTTCTAAAAGAGGGAGGAGAGCCTTGGAGAGAGGTTTTTCTTTCTTAGTTCCTGGGAAAATTATACGCAGCAGGTTTATTCAATAAAGTGTTCTCACCACATACTTTGCACAATAATGACTTACAAATTGCATGCTAATTTTGCTGCAGTTAAATCATTCCAGGTTTTATCCTGGAAAGAAAAAGATGGACTCTGTAATGAAACAGTATCCACAGGACTTGATGTCTTAAGCAGACTTTGACTATTTCCTTCACATTTGGACCTCACTGAAAGATTTGCATGAAAGGGGGTGAAGTGCAGAGATGAATGTGTGGGGTGAGTGATCCTGAAGCACCAGGTGAGGATGCAGACAGTGAAGTG